CCACACGCCTTCTCCTCGTCTTCGTTTTTACCTTCCCCTTTTTCTTCATCTTTCTTCAATCCCTTCTTTCATTATGTATTTCTTCTTCCATCATGTCATCTTCCCCTTCTCTATGACTCATCCATTTTTTTCGGTAGTTTTAGCTTTTAAATTTTTTCACAGCCCTTCCAAATTGGGGTATAGGAATAAGTCAAAATTCAAAAGACTTAATTCTCCGCTCTTGTATTTTTCATGGCTAGATAACTTTCTTTAAATGAAGAGTGAAGGAAGCAGTGGTACTCATGGTGGAGGAGCCATGGCAGGTGTGTTATTGTTTTAAGAAGGTTGAGTGGGTGGGTTTGAAGAAGGGAGGATGGTTTTTCTTTAATTTTAATTTTAGTTTTTTGCTTTTTTTATTTTAATTTTTGTTTGTGAAATTAAAATTTTGTTAAATAATATTATTTTGGTATAGAATCTGATGTGGATGCTGATATGTCATCAACGTCAAGCAAGTGAGCATCACACGATTCTGGAGGTATTTAAAAGTCTTGTTTTGATTAAGTTGAAGTGTATGGATGAAACTTTATGAAGTGTAGGGACCGGAATGACAAACCAGAACAAGTACAAGTGTTTCCTAAACTATTCTACCTTTTTAATATTTCAAACGAAGTCATAGAAAATTGAAAAATAAATTAAAGAGGGCATGACTCATGACATGTTGGAAAATCTAGAAGATCTTGATCTTCACGTGTTACAAATCCCAAAACGTACCACCTATTTGAAAAGTAGCCAAAATAATATTTCAATTTTGCAAGAATTAAGTAGTTATTACGATATAGGCCAATATTGATAGTCGTATCTTACCATCAAAAATTATAGCGGGACGAATATAATTCTTTTACCTTTAAACAGGTCTCAAATTCGAGACCTAAAAATAAAAGAAATCTCAATAAAGAATGTTCTTTTTTTAATGGATCTTACGCTACACGAATCTAAATTAGTCGGGACCCGACAATGGCTACCAAACATCGAGTGGAAAACAAAGAATATAATTGTATATTTAGAAGCTTGATAAATAAAAAAGGTTTTTAGCCCATGCTGTGCATTTCTTCCCTAATATAAATTTAGTAGGCAGGGAGGTTAGATGTACTTTTGCAGCCATAGAACAGACTGCTATTTAATGAGGAGAAACAATAAACTATATATTAATTTGAATATTTTTAAGTGAATCAATTCTATTAAATTCTGCTACCCAAAAAAGATTTCATATTCAATTCACTCACTTCTACTTAATGTACTAAAACGGCCGAACTACTGAAAAGAACTGGCCCTAATGACAGAATTTACTCTATTCTATTTTCAGCTGACCATCAGAGAGTATTTAAATTACAGTGTTTGTAGCAGATGCAGCACTTATGTGAAAAGAAAAAAAGCAATTATTCCATTTTGTTGTTATTGTTTTTATTTTTATTATATTCATTCACTTAAGCATATGTTCCTAGTGAAATTAAACTCAATTTGAATCTTAGTTTATATACATTATCTGTTACCGGTTTTTAAATAACATGATTGTATATTTATTTTTAAATTATCATCAAATTAAACTTAGAATTCAACTAAAAAAGAATGGTTAATTCAAAAGAAAATGATAGGGTCTAAATGTAACTTCAACTAAAAATACAAAACAAAACATTTCATTTAGTCAACATGCAAGTGAGGAAACAGACTTAATTGGTATTATTCTACCTTCCCCTTATAGCTTAATTTCTACATAATGAAAGAAGAAAAAAAAAAAAAAGAAACTGTCCATTGAAAAATAGAATACATGAAAAAGGAGAAAAAAAGGGTGAGCTAAGGACACAAGTAGCAACTAGCAAAGATAGGACAAAATAAGAAGTTGACTGGTCGATCAAAATTAATTGCATGCGTTAATGAAAAAATGTGCAATATATGTATACTATACATATATATAGAAAATTATATATTTAATTAGCTACTATTTTTTGGAGAGGCTAAAAATAAGTATTTCTCGCTAAAATTTGGCAAAGCTTTCTAAAATTTTAACCAACAGAGGAAAAACCAGAAGACCCCACTTGGATTTTGTGAATTTTGGTCTTATTACCAAATAGCACAAGGCTACAAACTTTACGCGGTTTCAGCCCATAAAACATTAAAACCTACTTTGTACAGTCCCAACATAAAATTTTACCTTCAAATTCCCACCATCAAAATCTCAGAAAAATAAAATAAAAAACAAATAATTAATTAATGGTTCCTAACTAGGGCAGTTTTTGGTCCCCTCAGCAGCCTTAAAAAAGTGTCAGTCAGTTGTGTAACTGTAGCACAACTTAAAGGCCAAGCCCCCCCAACTCTTAAAATCCCCTATTTATATCCCTCTAATTCTCTCCCAGTTTTCTACACCCAACTCAACTACCTTTTATTCACATTCTCTCTAGCTCTCTGTTTCTCAACTCAAGGCTCACTCTCCAAAGTAATAGTCTTTCTTCTTTTCTTGAAAAAATGCTCACAGATTGTTAACATTTCTTGAATTTAGGCTAAAAAAGTTGTAATCTTTATGCAGGAACATGGCTTATTTTGGGATTTGCTTTGTTGGTTTGTTAGCAATGGTGTCATCAGTTTATGGTTATGGTGGTGGAGGTTGGATTAATGCTCATGCTACTTTTTATGGTGGTGGTGATGCCTCTGGCACAATGGGTATGCACCATTTTCTTTAAATATTTCAAAGTTCTAAACTTTTTGTATTTTTAGGCTTGCTTATTATTTGTGCTCATTCTTGATTCTTTTTTTTTTTTTTTGTTGCATGTGTTTTTACAATAGGTGGGGCATGTGGATATGGGAATTTGTATAGTCAAGGGTATGGTACAAATACTGCAGCATTAAGTACAGCTATGTTCAACAATGGGTTGAGCTGTGGTTCTTGTTTTGAGATAAGGTGTGTGAATGATAGAAAAGGGTGTTTGCCTGGTTCAATTGTGGTCACTGCTACCAATTTTTGCCCACCAAATAATGCATTGCCTAACAATGCAGGGGGTTGGTGTAATCCTCCCCTTCACCATTTTGACCTCTCTCAGCCTATTTTCCAACACATTGCTCAGTACAAAGCTGGAATTGTCCCTGTTGCTTACAGAAGGTATGTTTATTGTTTTATTGAAGTTTTCTTGGAACCCCATTATTACATACTCCCTCCGGTCCAAAATAAGTGATTTTTTTTGGTTGTTTTCACACAAATTAAGAAATCCACCTTTTAGCATTAATTAGCAATGGAATTGACCATATTAACCTTTACTATCTCACATAAACACTCCTAATACATATTCCAACACTATTTACTCCAAGGACAATGTAGGAAAAAAATAATTAATTCATTCTTGAAATCTGAAAAAATCACTTATTTTGGACCACAAGAAAAAAGCCAAAAAATCACTTATTTTGGACTGGAGGGAGTACTACCTATGCTTTTTGCTAATTGTTTGGTACTTAATTCCTTAAAGAGGGTCAAGGAGAATTTTATCTTTTCACAATATGAGTCAATTTACCCTTTAAGGAATGTAATTAAAGGGAAAAGAAAATGCTAAATTGCTTAGCCTAAGGTTTGAAATTTCTCATTGGTGCCTTGAAAATGACATGAATTTACTCTACATGCAAAAAATGGCGAAACCACATGTGTGGTCCCCTTTGACAATAGCTTTAATTTTACTATTGTAACTTGGAAGTTTCCCATTTGGCTCTTTTCAATGTATACTTTAGCCTTTACTTCTTGCTTGTGTTTGGTAAACTTAGAATAGTAAAATATACAAATATTGTCACCACTAGACACAATTCTAAAGGTTATGTATAGTCAATTCCAACTTGCTTGGTATCGAAAAGGGCTGCCCGATGCACTAAGCTCCTGCTATGTTTTTGCTATGTGTGGGTTTCGAGAAATGGCTGGACCATAATAAAGATCTATTGTACCTTGCATTTCTACGAGAGTTTGTTTCAACGGCTCGAACCCTTGACCTCCTTGTCACATGGCTCGAACTTGCTTATTATCAATGTTTTCTTAATGTTGTACAAACATTGTCACCATATGGACCTACAATATGACACATTTTTTCTCCAAAAATACAGGGTACCCTGCAGAAGAAGGGGTGGTATCAGGTTCACAATCAATGGACACTCATATTTCAACCTTGTACTTGTAACAAATGTTGGTGGTGGTGGTGATGTTCATGCTGTAGCTGTAAAAGGATCAAGAACTGGTTGGCAACCAATGTCAAGAAACTGGGGACAAAACTGGCAAAACAACAACTATCTTAATGGCCAAGCCCTCTCATTTAAGGTTACTACAGGTGATGGCCGCAGTTTGATTTCCTACAATGTTGCACCTGCTCATTGGTCTTTTGGACAGACTTATACTGGAGCTCAATTCCACTGAAAAAAATTTGGCTGCTCAAGAATTTAATATTTTAGCTAAATGGGGTTTTAAGTTTGAAGTATATTAGTAGTATACTAGTATTAATATTATGTATACTAATTTGGTCACTAGTACTAGTATTGTGACTGTTAGTATAGAATGGGTGTACTCAAATAGAGTATATAGGAGGACTATGTCTATTTTGGAGGTTTTAGTGTGGTCTCTAGGGTAAAAAATGAAAAGGGCATATTTTAAAATTGTCCTTTTTTTCATTTTTAGCCTACTTTTGTGACCCTAATTCTTGAGGCCACTCTTTTTAGGGGTTCTTTTGTTTTGGGGTTTATTTTGTAATTTTTCCTTCTGTGGAGGGCAGAAGAGGAAAGCAGTGGTGGAATTTTATCACCCGCAGTTGGTTTAGGGTTATCTTTTTAGTAAAGTAGGACAAGTTTGGCAACTTTATTTTTTGGTTGCTTCAGCCTATAGCTGGAGATGGTTTGTGTGAGACTAAAGTGTAAAAATACATTTAACTATTAGTAATGATTTAAGAAGATGATGCTTATGTATTGAACTTTTATTCCTTTGTCTCTTTTCCTTTGTGTATTTTATGTATTTTTATTTTTATTTTCTTAACTTTTGTGCTATATTCTTTTAAGATGTTGATGTTTATTTGATATAGACCACAAACTACATACGCTAGATATAAAGTAAATATACTGAAGTAGCAGCCAAATTAAAAAGCAACTGCCATCAGCCTAACTTTCTGAATGATTATGATAAACTATCTTTTATGATCGTTGTCAGCCTAACCGTCTAAGTTAGTGTTTGGACACAGATTTGTTGAAATTTGAAAAAAAATGAGTTTTTACCGATGAGATGAAAAATGATTTTTGAATGTTGGGGTCGTGTTTGGACATGCATTTTACTTGAATAGGATTTAAAGTTTTGTGAGTAAAAAATTTTAAAAATGATTAAAATTTAAAAAACAAACAGATATTTGAAAATAAATTTTAAAAAAAAGTTTCTAAATTTTATTGCCAAACGGGAGCCAAGTAGTTTAAATTTTTTTGCCTTGCACTTAAATGATCATCCAACTAAATACTAATGACACCTCTGAATCTAACCCATTTGATCTGTTTTGCAAAAGAAAAGGAAAAACAAAGCGCTGAAAAATTTGACAAAGAAAAGGTGGATACTTGTGTTTCAAATTTTGTGGATGAGATTCTTATCCCTGTCAATGGTGAGGACATTGTCCTTCCACAAATAAAAAGATAACTTGAGCGTTATTTATCTAACTTTACCCTGACTTAGAATACCGTTTATAGCCTTTTTTTTAATACAGATTTTTCATTTTGGGGCAAATATTGAGTTTTATGTAAGTTTCACCTACTAATTACTATAACTCTTAAGGGGTCGTTTGGTTTGAATACGGCTTATGTCGGAACTCGGAATAAGTTATGCTGGGATTATTTTGTATCCACTGTTTGGTATGCTAAATATGTTAATTGCATAATTTCTAAGAAGAAGGTATAAGTTATCCCGGTGCTAATTACCCCATCCTTTATAAGGTATAAGTTATTCCGGTGTTAATTTTAATCCCGGGATAAGTTATACTTGGTTTGCTAATCAAACAAAATATTAAAGTAGTATTAAATTTTTATACCAACACTATACCTTCTTTTACATTGTACCAAATGACCCCTAAGTGAGGATATGGAAATTAAAATTTCTGGATGGTCCCACAAAATGTTGGAAATTTCCTGGAAATTTAACTGTGAGTGTTGTGGGAAGATGGCTTCTTCCAATTCTAGTGAGATCATGCTTAACGAACTACTGCTATATTTAATCGCACAAGCAAACAATAAGGACAAATTCCATGGCTTTTTTGGTGTTTCAATTCTAAGTCAGTTGGTGTAAAGAATCAGTGCATCTATTACTTCTTCTGTCAACTATAATTAATTTTTTTTTGGTTGTCTCACACATATTAATTAATCTAGTTTTTAATATTAATTAATAATAAAATTAAACTTATTAACCTTAATTTGCTCATTGGAAATACAACACGGTGCATGCTATTTGCCGATGACATAGTTTTGATTGATGAGTCGTGAGCCGGTGTTAACGAGAGGCTGGAAGTTTGGAGACTGACTCTTGAGTCTAAGGGTTTCAAGCTCAGCATGATGAAGACGGAATACTTGGAGTGTAAGTTCAGCGCTGAGCCGAGGGAAGTGGACATAGATGTGAGGCTTGGATCACAAGTCATCGCAAGTGGAGGCAGCTTCAAGAACCTTGGGTCGGTTATCCAGCGGGGAGGGGAGATCGACGAGGATGTCACACTCCGTATTGGGGTAGGATGGATGAAGTGGAGGTTAACATCTGGAGTCCTGTGTGACAAGAAAGTGCCACTGATACTCAAAGGTAAGTTCTATAAAGCGGCGGTTAGACCGGCCATGGTGTATGGAGCTGAGTGTTGGCCTCACATATCCAAAAGATGAAAGTAGCAAAAATGAGGATGTTGAGTTGGATGTGCGGGCACGCTAGGATGGATAAGATTAGGAATGATGATATTCAGGAGAAGGTGCACATGGCTCCCATTGATGACAAGATGCGGGAAGTGAGGCTCAGATGGTTCGGGCATGTGCAGAGGAGAAGTCTAGATGCTCCGATAAGGAGGTGTGAGCGACTAGTTGTGGAGGGCACGAGAAGAGGTAGAGGGCAGCCTAAGAAGTATTGGGAAGATGTGATCAGGCAGGATATGGCGAGACTTCAGATTTCCGAGGACATGACACTTGATAGTAAGATGTGGAGGTCACGAGTATTAGGGTGGTAGGTTAGGAGGTAGTTGAGTCTTGCCTTACTGGTACCTTTGTGAGACTAGTCTGGTAGGGTTTTTGTCTAAGCTAGCTAGTGGCAACGTTGTATCTTACTATTTAGCTTTTCAGTGCAGGACCTATTTACTAGCTATCGCTTTTGCTTTGCATCTTTCTTCTCGATTTCATATTGTTCCTATCTTCCTATGATTTCTATGGTGATACTAATATTGTCTCCTTTTGTCATTTTATTTTCTTGAGCCGAGGGTCTTTTGGAAACAACCTCTTTACCCCTTCGGGTACGGGTAAGGTCTGCGTACACACTACCCTCCCTAGACCCCACTAGTGGAATTTTACTGGGTTGTTGTTGTTGTTGTTGTTGGAAATACAACAAATACTCCTAGCCTCTTTATTTCAAGGGCAATTTTGAAAAAAAGAAGTTAATTCCTTCTTGATATCTGAAAAATCAAATATTATGGACCACAAAAAAAGACTAAAAAATCGATTAAAGTGGACCGGAGAGAGTATATAATTCTGAGTCAGTCAATTCGTCCATATTTTGCATTGTTAAGGGTCGTTCGGTACCATGATTGGCATATACATGAGATTAGTTATCCTATCTTTTATATGTAATAGCTAATTTTATCATTTTAGTGTAAAAGTTATCTTAAAATTAACTAATAACTCAAACAAAACATATGATAAAACTAATTCCAAATTTTATATCAAAATTATTTTTTTATTCCATGCAACGAACGACTCGTTAAGGTCATATTAACATTCTTTACTGAATTCGAGATACTACTTCTCGTTAACTTGAAATACATTTAAAAAGAAATCATAGATAAAAGTGTCAGTTGTTTACCCTAGGGTTGTTTTGGGGTATGTTTCCAATAAACACATTAAGGGTCGTTCGGTTCAAATAAGGTTATCTTAGAATTATTATAATTTTAAAATTACAATCAAGATTATATCAGTATTATAATCCCACCTCGTATATGTGATAGATAACTCTAAAAATTTGATATAAAATTTATTTTTTCTTTTAGCCGATAACCACAACAAATACTGGTAAATTTAATCCTAAATTTACAACTAGGATAACTCTAATTCGTGTAACCAAACGATCCCTTAATAGTAGGAGTAGTAAATATCGAAATTGAAAGAAAGGAGTAAAAAATGAGAAGGATTGTGTATTCAAAGAGACCAGGGCAACCAACAAGGGTTGTGGTTGAGTGGTAAGTACTCCTTCATCCTTAACCAGAAGTCTCGAATTTGAGTCCCTGGGTGTGAAATCGCCTTTGTTAGGGAGCGCTTCACCCCTAATGCGGGATTTTCCGGTGCGAATTTGGATTAATCGGACCCCAATATAGGTACCATATACAGAGTGAAAAATAATTAAAAAAAAAAAAAGAGAGCAGGGCGGGAGAGCCCATGCCTGAAGCTCTGAAAAGGCTGACAACGACTAGTCAAACCCCACAGCTCCCGCCGCTTGGCCCTTATTCTTCTTCCTTCTGCCCTTCTTTTCTCTTTTCGTGCTTTGCGCCTCGTGACTCAACACCACATTAATGCGCTCTTCTTATTCAAATTTCTTTTAAAGGCAAGTTTAGCCTTTTCTTTTCTTCTTAAGGAATAAATTCAAATGTTAAATATTTTTACAAATTAAAAATTGTGACTCGTCTAGAAATAAAATACTAGAATCCTTTGAAGTAGTGTTTAAACATAGATGTGGTTAAACTTAAAAAATAAGTTTTTGAAGTTGTGGTTAAAAATAGTTTTTAGAAGTTAAATTGTGTTTTATTTGAAAAAAAAATTGAATTTTTGTGAGTGAAAGAAAAAATTTCACAAACTATCCTAAACCAGTTTTTAGGAACTTGAATTTTTTTTTAATTTTTTTTTAAAAAACTGATCATATTTCATAAACAAACAATATATTATTTTTTTTTTTTAAAAAAATTGTCAGAATTTATGTCAAAACGGTCCTAAGCTTCACATCTATTATCGGAGGATGAAGTATGAGAGGCTCAAGCTTTATGTCTTGTAATGTCCATCTCCTACGTTTCAACTTGTTTTTTACACTTTGAATTGTCAATTCTGTAAGCATCAGTATATATTTTAATCATTTTTTAAATTAGAGGAGTATAACATAGTGTCGTTTAATAAGTAAGAACTAAGTTATTTATGAGACTATCCATAATACTAAAATGAATCAATATCCTGAGTTCGAATTTTGGAAACGGAAAAAGATTCAAAATGCCCTCAAACTATTGGAAAAGGTTTAAAAATACCCTTTCATCTACTTTTTTGGTTCACTTATGCCTTTGACCGTTAGGTCAATGCTGAATTAAAAATAATTATTATTCTTTTTGTAAAACTTAAAAAAAATATTTTNAAAAAAAATATTTTACAAAATATTTTTTATTTTTTTAAACTAATGCACCAGTAGTCCACTAATTTAGAAAAGTCTTTTTTCAGTTTTTACAAAAAAAACAATTCAATTTTTACAAAAAAATTATTTTTTTTTCATTTTTTTTTAGTTTTTTAAAGCATTTTTTTCTGAACAATGAAAAAATTGTAAAAACAGAAATAATTTAATAAAATATTTTCGTTTTTTAGAAACTGAAAAATTATTTTCAAAAAAATACTTTCGTTTTTGAATTTTGTTTTTCATTTCTTTTTTTTCAAAAACAAAAATATTTTTTCTTTAAAAAAAACTGAAAAACGAAAATCAAACGAAATGCTTTTAAAAAAACTGAAAAAAATTTTT